TGCTGAAGCTTGGAGGTGCATAGGGACAGGACAACCAGTGATGGACCAAGCTGGGATAAGGAAAACTCAAATTAGACATTAGGAAAAGAAAATGTCATCAATAAGGAGGTCACACACTGGAGCCAGAGAGTCTGTGAGATGTCCATCCTTAGGGATATTCAGCATGTGGCTGTGGGTGACAGCCTGAGTAACCTGATCTAATGGACTTGCTGGAGGGTACTGGACCAGGGACCACCAGGGTCTCTTCCCACCCATATCCACCTTTGATCCTATGAAATAATTTCACATAAGTCACTGCTATGTCATTTCCCTTCTTCCTGTCAATGGGGGCTGAGGGATTTGCTGCAGTGATGCTATCACTGAGGATGCACAGGACAAGTGGTGAGCACGGGTGAGAATCTCCCTGAGCTGGCTGCTCAGGAAGGGGACAGGACCATGTGGACGGATGGAAGGGACACTGGACAGGGAGCTAGGCTGCCTTTCCTCAAAATATTTCCAACTGAGCAGCAAGGAGAAAACACTCCTGGCTGGCTTCGAGTCACGGGATGTGTGAGGATTACTTGGCGACCTGGCAGGCACAGATTTCCCAGACAATTATTTTCACATCCATAGCGTCTGTTTAAGTGACTCATTCAAATCTATTTAACTGTTCACAGCGAGTAACATTCAGCAACAGAAGCTCAAGTACCACAACACCACCACAGCTACGGCTGGGGTCACCCTGGCAAGCAGAGCAGCACTGAAGGGCAAGATGTGATGGCCAAGAGGCCAGGCCAGGCCCCCCTCATCCCACAGCCCACCAGGGACGTCTGCTCCACTCCTGCCAGCACTGAGCACAGCAGAGGAGCAGGGATGTTCCCGTGGTCACCCGCACTGTGCAGCCGTGTCCCCACTCCTCACTGGGAGTGAGGAGGAGGCTTTGGTCCAGGGTTGAGCCCCAGGCTGTGACCTGTCCTGGAGAGGAGCTCAGGAAACACAGGGAGGTGGGGTGCAGACAGGGGAGCAGGCAGCAGCGGAAGCTCTTTCTCTTCCTCCTGCCAACAGCAAATGGGGCACCTGCAAATGCCCAGGCCAGGCTTGTAACACCTCTCGGCCTTAGCACAGCCTCAGCTGCTTGGGAAGGAGGAAAACCCAATTCCCCTGTGCTCACCTTCCCCACATCTCTCCAGGTTCCCAAAAGCATCTCTCAGGTCCCTAAGAGCCATCCCCTGCACAGCAGCCCACTGCGTCTCCGTAAATAGCAACCCACAAGAAATAATCATAATGCGTTTCATCAACAAAGGGCTTTGGTCACTGGAAGGCTTTAGCAGCACCCAGGTCACAGAGCATCGCTAGAAGCACCAGGAAAGACATGGAAAATGTCAAAAGGGAAAAATAACACCTCACAGCTTGCTCAAGTGTCTTTATCACTGAGTCATGGACTCACAGCATAGTTGGGGTTGGAAGGGCCCAGTCCTCCTGCCACCACTGCCCAGCTCCCTGCAGCATCTCCCCATCGACAGCCCCTGCACCTCTGCAGGCGCTGCTGCCCAAGGGCCCTTCCTGCCGCGCTCAGGGCTGGGAGCGGCGCTGTGCCCAGCAGTGCCGACGTGCTCCCCGGCACGCTCGCTGCAGCCGCCCGCTCCTCCCCAGCACGGCGTCACCCGCCTGTCACCAGCTGCCTTCTCCATGGCTCTCATTAATGCACTGGAGGGGAAATGTCTGATGGAGGAGGGAACAGGGAATCCTAAAAGCAGATCGTGCTTGTTCCCGGCTCCACCACTCTAACCTTCCCGCGCTGTCCTTGCTCAGTGCTCCTCAGATTAGGGCAGGTTACCTCTGACTGCCTGAAATAAAACCAGAGAAACTAGGAATAGTGGCAGGAAGGGAGGAAAACCAACTTGTCTTTAACAAGAAAGATGAAACAACACAGCTTGAATGAAAACTACAGACACTCTACAAAATTACCTCAAAACAGTGCAAGGATGCATCTGGGCTGTTCAGAAAGGAAAGGGAAAATAGGAGGGATGTGGGTCTGGGATTGCACAGACCAACTGCCAAGTACTCATTCATTCTCTTCAGGTCTTGCATAGGAAATAGGCAATGGTTCTGTGTACTGTCTCACTGTGGCCCAGACACTTCCTCCTTGGCACTAGCTCACCCATTCCCTCCTGGCCCCTCATCTCTGCAGCCTCCTCTCACTACCTTGGACTCATCTGTCTCCCCTAATTACGGATTCCCTAGTGTGTTCCCTCCCTCCCCACGCTGGATTCCACCCTCCCCTGCCACTTCACTCTCCAGACTCCTTCCTTTGCCAGGATTTGCCTTCAGCATTCGCAGCACTGTCCTTGTTAGCTCTTAGCTAATTGCCCAGCAAGACAGTGGGCTCTGCCCTGCCAGCTCACACACTTTGCCCCAAGCATCTGCTGCTGGCACCTCCCTGGCCAACCACTGTTACCTGTAAAATCATTTGCATACTTAAAACAAAATCTCTTTAAAATTTAACTCCTGTGCAAGTGGAGGCACCTGCAGGCAGTCCCTGCTGCTCCTCTGCTGCACGCCACTGGCAGAAGCAGGCCCTCATGCATGAGCATTGCCCAGAGTTTACCCTCCCCGGGACCTCAGCAACCCTGACATGGCCACAGGAGCCCTTCTCCTCCGCAGCTTGCCCAGGGAAGAGATATCCCTCTCCCTGCAGGGTGGTATTTCTGCCTTTTAGACAGCAGGGTTTATATTTCCTGGGGGGAATCCTTGGAGAAATCACAGTCTCACAGACTGGTTTAGGTTGGAAGGGACCTTAAAGCTCATCCGGTTCCAACCCCCTGGCACGGGCAGGGACACCTTCCACTAGAGCAGGTTGCTCCAAGCCCCTGTGTCCAACCTGGCCTTGAACACTGCCAGGGATGGGGCAGCCACAGCTTCCCTGGGCACCCTGTGCCAGCGCCTCAGCACTCTCACAGGGAAGAACTTCTGCCCAAGAGCTCATCTCAATCTCCCCTCTGGCAGGTTCAAGCCATTCCCCTTGTCCTCTCCCTACAGGCCCTTGTCCAAAACCCCTCTCCAGGTCTCCTGGAGCCCCTTTAGGCACTGGAGCTGCTCTAAGGTGTCCCCTTCAGGAGCCTTCTCTTCTCCAGGCTGACCCAGCGCAGCTCTCTCAGCCTGGCTCCAGAGCAGAGCTGCTCCAGTTCTTTGGTGAAATCCTGCTTTCTAGCCTCTGTTTCACTTAATTTTCTCCTCTACACCCCCACCTGGGAAATGTGGAAGTTCTGTTGGGACACAGGGTCAATGTAGTGTTTGGAGGTGGGATGACAGCCCCCTGTCATCAGCACAGTGCTGTGTTGAGCTTAGGGAGGCAGTTGTCTGCCCAATTCTTGCTCAGATTTGCCCTTCCCAAGACAAAAACGCCTTCGTTCCCTTCATGAATAGTCTTGCTATCGGCTGCTGCCTTCCTTTGTGGCTGTCCTCCCTGTGTACGAGTGGATGCCAAGACCTGGAGGTGTATTTGGCTGTTGGGTTATTGCTGTCCGTAGGAACCAGCTGAGATTTGTCCCTTTTCAGTATCTCTGTAATTGCTTTCTAGCCTGGTTTTGTCATTAATCAAGTGTGCCTTTAAATCAGAGGTGAAGCAAGCACAGCTCTTCTCTGTGCTGCCTCTGCAAGCTGCTGAGTGGATTCTCCTCCAGCCTGCAAGCTTTTACTGAAACTGCTGAATTCATGAGTGACCCCTGCAGGGGACTCATTCATCCTTCTTCTCCAGTCTGACTTTGCTTCTTTAATCATCTGGTCCCTGTGTCCAGCCTGGTGGCATGGGTGTGATACACCTGCATGTCCCTGGCTGCTCATACTGCAGGCAATACAAAGACACCCTCGTTGCTTCTTTTTCTTCCTTGCACATTTTGCTTTAATTAAAGCCTTTACCTCTTCTGACCCCAGCTTTACATCTGAGCTGTGTTGGATCCACCCTGCTAAGGCGTGCTCAGCAGCAGTGCCCTTTGCAAGGGGACAAGGGAATGGCTTTAACCTGCCAGAAAGGGAGACTGAGATGAGCTCTGAGGCAGCAGCTCTTCCCTGTGAGGGTGCTGAGGCGCTGGCACAGGGTGCCCAGAGAAGCTGTGGCTGCCCCATCCCTGGCAGTGTTCAAGGCCAGGTTGGACACAGGGGCTTGGAACAACCTGCTCTAGTGGAAGGTGTCCCTGCCCGTGGCAGGGGTTGGAACTGGATCAATTTTAAGGTCCCTTCCAACCCAAACCAGTCAATGATTCCATGATTCTATGAATCATTTTATTTGAAATTAAGAGCAAAAATTTCACAACTAATTCTTGAGAGCTGCTGCATTTGATGTGGCTCCACCACTGCAGAAGTGGAACTGCTAAGCAGGATATTCTTAAAACTCAGGAAAATAAGGTGGGTGATGTTCTGCTTACATTCTTCAGATCACTTTCCCACCAGGCTGCCTTCCTGTAGCACCATCAGCTATTAAAAGCCCTTGCAATACTGTCAAGGCACAGAATTATCTTCCAGATTGGGAGCTCCAGATTCCTTTTGGTCATGGCGAGATAGATAATCCACACATTACCCACTCTAAGCACCATCTCTGCAAGAATCCAGATGGATGCCAAGAATAAGGCACTTCTTATAGCCGTAGCATTTGCAAGAGAAGTTAACATGCCTTGCATAAAAGTGTCCTGATTTTTAACTTGGATTGAACACATATGAGTCACTCAGCTGCATTCCTCTAAAAGCCTTGACCTGTAGAGAAAAATCCCAACTTCCCTCTCACACCCCCAATGTGCTTAGCTAAAAGGGCATTACAAAGACATGGACATGACAGGTTGTTCTTCATTATTCAAAACCTTCAAGCTCTCAATGGAAAAAACATTACTACACACATCATTTCCACTTTGCAAAGAGTATCCCTCAGCTAAGGATGCCACACACATCATGTCATCTCCTACCATCACCACATGCTTTTGCAGGTGACCCTGTGCTCAGGAGGGCCTTCACTCCAGAAACTCACGACTCACCATGAGGTTTGAATTGTCTTTCCTCAAAAAAACAAAACAGTATATGTGGAGAAAAGTGATGCAGAGACTCCAGTGCCCTTCCAAGCTGAGGTACAACAGGGGAGATGTTGTCCACCACACAGTGATGGGGCTTTACTGCCTGCATTCGGAGGGCAGATTCAGTGTTGGGGTCTCTCTGCTGTTCCTCCTTTGAAAAGAGGCTGCCTCTAAAGTCTCGACATTGCCACATCTTCACAAACCATTCTCACTACGCTAGAAAAGAACAAGAAAGGAAAGAACTGGTGCAGGTCGCACTGGCTGCTGTTTCTCACCAGCAGCTTTGGCCAACTAAGAGAACTTCTTAACTTCAACCTCATTTCTTCAGTGGAAAATACTCAAAGAGAAGACCTGGCTACCTGGGCACAGCAGCACCTGTAGCTGGGAAAAGCAAGGCAGCATCAGAGTTTTTCCAATGAGCCAAAGGCACAGGGAGCATAGAAAAACACTTCCAGCAAGTCCGCCTCTGCTCTGCTTTTGACCCAGGAACTTCTTAGGAGAAACTTGTGGTTTTCTATCCCCTGATTAATCGAAGTAACCACAGAAACAAACTGCTCTGTCAGCCCAGCTCTACTGCTTTGCTCTAAACAAACACTAATGCACACTGAGCTGCCCCAGCTACTCTCAGGGCTCCAGAGAATCCTGGGGGTCAGCTCCTTCTTGAACCCAGGTGCTCTTTATCTGAGGTAGAGGTCTTCTTTCTGCTGAGCCTTTTCATGATAACACTTGTTAAGGCAGCACTTACTTAGTTTAAGAGATTAAAGAGCAGTAATTTTTTGAAGACCTGATGATAAAAGCAGTGCATGTGAAACCCCCAACACAACACAACACAAACCATCCAGCACCACAGACCAACTGCTCAATATCATTCTTTAAAATTAATCCAGCTCTAAACCTTTTCATGCTGCAGGAAAAAGCTGAGCAATATTCAAAGCATCAACAACAGGCACGGAATGAGTGATGGTTTCATGTCGTGACACTAGGGAAAGGCTGGAACTCACACAGGCTCTGCACGTGGGCATGTCAGGATTTGATAACTTCCCACCAAAACTTTCCCCAGGAGCTGTTCCCTTTGCAGCTTCACTTCCAGGGACAGAGGAAGAAGTTTCAACACTTGTACCCACCACTTCTGAGCAGACCCAACAGGAAAAGGCTTCCTACAGGCTCAGACTGGGAGCAAGGAAGTGACAGCTATGAGAATGCCAGCAAAGAAGCCCTTGGGTTGTAGGAAGTGTCACATATGCCCTCAGACTCCTGCACAACAGCTGCTTTGGAGATAGTTTCCATCAAAACAAGCCTAAAACAACATGAAGGGCATTGAAACGAACATCTCTGACCTCATCTGTCTCACATGGGATCGGGAAATGGGTAGGATGCCACACGGTGGGTCCCCTGTGTGGCACATCTTGCCAACAACCCCCCAGAACACTACCATGGGATGCACCACAGGACAACCTTCTAAGCTCTCTGACTCACCAGTGCACTGGGTGACAGGGAGGAGAGACACTACCACAGCCAGGTCTGGGTAGCAACTGCTATAGGAAATGATCAGGTCAATGCATCTCCTCATGGCCTCCAGCTCTAACTGGGGGGCACGTGGAGGAAACAGAAAGGCTCTAAGGACAACTGGG